AACAAACGGACACATGTCTACTGGACGGCTAGCTGTTTTTGATCGACAAAGCGGCCCAGTATAATACATTACCTTTTTAATTACGAATGCATTGATTCATTAGAATAGTAGTTACTATATCATACCTGGCATAAGTTCTTGTAAAACCCCACCTTGTCGTTAATACAATTGGAAGGTTCACCGCGAACGTACGTGTGTATCACCCGTGTACCACTGTACCAGGGTCAAGGACGTAAATATTACTATCCATGCGAGTCCTGCACAGGTACAGTATCCAGTGCCTCAAACGAACCGGTAATTTTTTATTTTATTTTATTTGAATTTATTTTTTTATAATCAATTAAACAATAAGAGTATTTACCACTACGGAATAAGATTGTGTTTGTGTCATCCACCCTATCATCACTCATGCACATATCTATCATCACTCATGCACATATTATGCAGTCGCATGTTTCATAAGATGGCCACCCCACAGGCTCCTCGATCAGAAAAAAATAATCCTATGAACAGTTTCCAAACTGTCTATTATATGAGAAAAATCATACATGATACAATATCCACCAATATCGATACATATTCATGCCAAATCATGATGCTGGATGACCATGATAAATTAGAAAAATTCATAGATTCTGCATGACCAACTTCACTTGCCTGATCTGGAATTTCAATGAATTAAAAAGGGGAGATAAATCGGTATTACCCCGAATATTACACTGCGCTGGTTTCTACTGGAGGTAACTCGGGTTATCTTTTTAACCGAGTGACAGAGCTGAACCATGTTATTTTCTGACTATAAAGTAAACGATTTCATATTACATGAAATAGTTATAATTATTTTCCATTTGTATTTGTAATTGTATATGTATTATTATTCTTAAACGGAAGAAATGAAGTTTTTAGCATTTGGTTTGGAACGCTGGCATTTTTTTGTGTGAAATGACATTCGTTGGAATTTTATTAAATATTGATAATACATAGTTTTAACACATATCAGGATCATTTTGACACTATACTAACGTATGAAAATGGATCACAACGCTAGTTTGAATTTTTATAAAGATATCGACAGATTCTGTGGATCAAATCTAAGGACCGGCATGGACTTAATGCGATTGATTTTTTTCTTCAAAAAGTATTATCCATAGAAACAACATATATTTGTTAAAAGTACGAAAATATGACAAAAACTGAAGTATTCTAATTTCTTGTAGGAATATGAGCTGGTCTTACGATGATACTGTGCATGTACATGTATATTTGTATATAATTTATGCATGACCATCCGTGAAGGAATACAGTATATTAGACGAATTTAAATTGAAACCTAACAGTGTCAAAGGGATCATAATTAAAGAAATGCAATAAAGTTTCAAAACGTAGTTGGTTTAAAACTTCTAAATTATATTCATATTTAATTCTGATTTTGTTTTATATATAATTTTGTATTGCAAAAGTTACACATGAAATAATACGAATAGTTGTTGTCTCCGATTGATATACACGGAATAAAATAAGATAAGGTAACTTGAAATTAGCGAAGTCCATGTTACAGGTAGGAGAAACCATATTAAACATTTATTTAAAGTGTAGACTTGTAAGGACCAATATTTTCATTCTGTTCATAATTTAATACAACCTTCTTTTTTATTTTTAGTCCACCATCATCTGATGGTGGGCTATTCAAATGTTAGAGGTGACTATAAAATTGAAACCGACCACTGAATCGGGAATTAATATTTTACCGTTGGGATGGAATTGAGTGTTAAAGAAAATACATAAACATAATAAATTTCAATTTTAAAATAGATTTGAAATGACACATGAAAAAAAAGAAATAAACAAAAGTTAGCACAGATGATTTCAGAAAAAAAAAAGATTTCATGAGGTTGAAATAAAAGTTATGAAGACATACTTTTATCCCATTATGACGTCAGCACTGAGGGGTTAAATCTGATCGGCCTTGGCGGCACTCAAAGGCATCTGAAGTAAAAATATATTGTAAAGGTCACCTAAGCTAGGCACAGGTTGTTTCACCTCAATTGCTGTGTCTAATGTTAATGAGAGTGTAGGACCCCCATTGCTGTATCTAATGTTAATGAGTGTAGGACCCCCATTGCTGTATCTAATGTAAATGAGAGTGTAGGACCCCCATTGCTGTGTCTAATGTTAATGAGAGTGGAGGGTCTCCGTTGCTGTGTCTAATGTTAATGAGAGTGTAAGACCCCCATTGCTATGTCTAATGTTAATGAGAGAGTAGGACCCCCATTGCTGTGTCTAATGTTAAGAGTGTATGACCTCCATTGCTGTGTCTAATGTTAATGCGAGTGTAGGACCTCCATTGCTGTGTCTAATGATAAGAGTGTAGGTCCTCCATTGCTGTGTCTAATGTTAATGAGAGGGTAGGACCCCCATTGCTGTGTCTAATGTTAATGAGCGTGTAGGACCCCCATTGCTGTATCTAATGTAAATGAGAGTGTAGGCCCCCCATGCTGTGTCTAATGTTAATGAGAGTGTAGTACCCCCATTGCTGTTTCTAATGTTAATGAGAGAGTAGGACCTCCATTGCTGTGTCTAATGTTAAGAGGGTAGGACCTCCATTGCTGTGTCTAATGTTAAGAGGGTAGGACCTCCATTGCTGTGTCTAATGTTAATGCGAGTGTAGGACCCCCATTGCTGTGTCTAATCTTAATGAGAGAGAAGGACCTCTATTGCTGTGTCTAATGTTAATGAGAGTGTAAGACCCCCATTGCTATGTCTAATGTTAATGAGAGAGTAGGACCCCCATTGCTGTGTCTAATGTTAATTAGAGTGTAGGACCTCCATTGCTGTGTCTAATGTTAATGAGAGTGTAGGACCCCCCATTGCTGTGTCTAATGTTAATGAGAGTGTAGGACCCCATTGCTGTGTCTAATGTTAATGAGAGTGTAGGACCCCCATTACTGTGTCTAATGTTAATGAGAGGGTAGGACCCCCATTGCTGTGTCTAATGTTAAGAGTGTAGGACCTCCATTGCTGTGTCTAATGTTAATGAGAGTGGATAGGACCCCCATTGCTGTGTCTAATGTTAATGAGAGTTTAGGACCCCCATTGCTGTATCTAATGTTAATGAGAGTGTATAGGACCCCCATTGCTGTGTCTAATGTTAATGAGAGTGTAGGACCCCCATTGCTGTGTCTAATGTTAATGAGAGTGTAGGACCCCCATTGCTGTGTCTAATGTTAATGAGAGTGTAGGACCTCCATTGCTGTGTCTAATGTTAATGAGAGTGTAGGACCCCCATTACTGTGTCTAATGTTAATGAGAGTGTAGGACCCCCATTGCTGTGTCTAATCTTAATGAGAGAGAAGGACCTCTATTGCTGTGTCTAATGTTAATGAGAGTGTAGGACCTCCATTGCTGTGTCTAATGTTAATGAGAGTGTAGGACCCCCATTGTTGTGTCTAATGTTAATGAGATTGTAGGACCCCCATTGCTGTCTCTAATGTTAATGAGAGTGTAGGACCTCCATTGCTGTGTCTAATGTTAATGAGAGTGTAGGACCTCCATTGCTGTGCCTAATGTTAATGAGTGTATGACCCCATTGCTGTGTCTAATGTTAATGAGAGTGTAGGACCCCCAGTGCTGTGTCTAATGTTAATGAGAGTATAGGACCCCCATTGCTGTGTCTAAGGTTAATGAGAGTGTAGGACCCCCATTGCTGGGTCTAATGTTAATGAGAGTGTAGGAGCCCCATTGCTGTGTCTAATGTTAATGAGAGTATAGGACCCCCATTGCTGTGTCTAAGGTTAATGAGAGTGTAGGACCCCCATTGCTGTCTCTAATGTTAATTAGAGTGTAGGACCTCCATTGCTGTGCTGCATTGTTGTGTCTAATGTTAATGAGATTGTAGGACCCCCATTGCTGTCTCTAATGTTAATTAGAGTGTAGGACCTCCATTGCTGTGTCTAATGTTAAGAGTGTAGGACCTCCATTGCTGTGCTGCATTGTTGTGTCTAATGTTAATGAGAGTGTACGACCTCCGTTGCTGTGTCTAATGTTAATGAGAGGGTAGGACCTCCATTGCTGTGTCTAATGTTAATTATATATAATGAGAGTGTAGGACCCCCATTGCTGTGTCTAATGTGAATGAGAGTGTAGGACCCCCATTGCTGTATCTAATGTTAATGAGTGTAGGACCCCCATTGCTGTGTCCAATGTTAATGAGAGTGTAGGACCCCATTGCTGTGTCTAATGTTAATTATATATAATGAGAGTGTAGGACCCCCATTGCTGTGTCTAATGTTAAGAGTGTAGGACCTCCATTGCTGTGTCTAATGTTAATGAGAGTGTAGGACCCCAAGTGCTGTGTCTAATGTTAGTGAGAGTGTAGGACCTCCATTGCTGTGTCTAATGTTAATGAGAGTGTAGGACCCCCATTGCTGTGTCTAATGTTAATGAGAGTGTAGGACCCCCATTGCTGTGTCTAATGTTAATGAGAGTGTAGGACCTCCATTGCTGTGTCTAATGTTAATGAGAGTGTAGGACCTCCATTGCTGTGTCTAATGTTAATTATATATAATGAGAGTGTAGGACCCCCATTGCTGTGTCTAATGTTAATGAGAGTGTAGGACCCCCATTGCTGTGTCTAATGTTAATGAGAGTATAGAGCTTTCACAACCTTTCATCAAAAACAAATGATTTTTATCAAATAGATGACTTTACAGCATAGTGTCTCTTTTGTGGTTTATGTTAATTTTTCAAATTAATGTTGATGGGTTGCATATATGAACATTTACATGTACTAGGATTTGTTATTGAAATAAGATAGAGATTTGTTATTTGTTTATGGATATAGAGGCACTTCTGTAGTTATGATAATTGTATAAAGCAGAGTTATTACAACTAATTGTATATTTAATGAGCTTTTTTAGAGTGTTTATTTCAAGATATTATAAACAGTTTAACTTGTTAAGTGAATGTATCATTGGAGCAGATTGTACCTTGTTTCGTTACAGATAGCACGATGGAGCAAACTCTGGAAGTTAATACAAGATGATGATGGGTGTCACCAAGTAGTTTTGGACCCTATACAGGAGTTTGACACTTATAAGGAATTGGACCCCAAGGTGAAGAAGTGTACTATGGAGCGCACCATACTTAAAGTTCATCTCCCTAATGGGGGCTTCAACATGGTCAAGTATGGTGATGCCACAGATGTCAAGGTGAGTCGTCAAATAGGTGGAAATCAGAACACTTTCAGTAAATGTCAACTTTAGCTTCAAAAGTAATGAAATAAAAAGTAATTGGGGTGATTATGGGGAGGAGTCTAATTGGGAGGAGTTTGTAATAACCAGGCTTGGCAGGAAGCTGTATTAATCTTATGATATATCCTCACCTTAATACTGTCTTATATTAATTCAAGTCTGATATACATCAATTGTATGTAAATAAGCAAGGATTGATAATTTTTTTTTTGACAAAATGATACATGAAAAGCAGTGGAAAATGGAATTGAAATGTGTTTGTGTAGTGTAGCCCCGATTGAAATGTGTTTGTGTAGTGTAGCCCCGATTGAAAACATTCCAATATCTACGATAGTTCTTAACTTAAAGAGAGATCTAAGTAATATGTAACATATAAGTAGTGAGAGGAATGTGTTGTTTTGTAGGACATAATCAAATTAGTTGTTGGGAGATTGACGGCTGGAGAGAGATACTTCGCGAACTGTTATGCCCTCAAGTTAGTTAATATCCAATCCAAGGACAGTTACTGGCTCCACAATAATCTGTCAATGTACCAGGTCCGACAGAAGTACGAATCCGCTCACCCATCTGATGAATGGAGGTAAGTTCCTGTCTGAAAACATTTTTTAGAAGGCATCTCAAACACAATTCACTGTTAACAGTATTCAGAAAGCATATTCAAGCATCTGAAATACATTTCATTATCAGCAACCTGTCAAGTATAGAGGTAATCTCACAGAGCATTTTTGAAAGTTTCTTGGAGACATTTCAAACACAATTAAATATAAGTCAATGTCAACAGCATGTTCGCAAGTATATGTATTAGACAGAATTAATTTCAAACACATTTCTATTATCACACACCCAACAATAACATTTTGATGGTTTAAAGCTCACCTGGCCCATCTTTGATTTTGACAGTGAATGTTTGTTTTCACTTATTCTCAGGAAGAACTTGAGGAATATTTTACAAATTTCATATGTAGGTTCGCCTTTGTCCCTTGTTGTTCATGTTGACTTTTGAGACTGATTGAATAAATAAAATGGCCACCAGACAGCCATCTTGGATTTTGACAGTGACAGTTTGTTATCACTATTTCTCAAAAAATTACTAAATGGATCTTTCTCAAATTTGATATGTATCTTTGTTCATGTTTACTTTTGATGTTGATGGAATAAACAAAATGGTTGATTGGTGGCCATCTTGGATTTTGACAGTTAAAGTTTGTTATTGCTATTTCTCAGAAAGTACTGGAGGGATCTTTTTCAAATTTGATAAGTAGATTTCCATTGGTCTGTAGTTGTGCATATTTAGTGATAAAAAAAACAAGATGACCACAGGAAGAACTTACAATGACGGATCTATTTTTTTCACATTAAGTACGGTACTATGTGAATAATAAAAAACTCACTTTGAAGGTTGTATATACTGTTTATACACAGTAGTATAAAGTTAAGATTAAAGTTATCTCAAGGTGCATTTACTGTTTACATGACTCAATCGAACAGATAAGAGAAAAGAAGAGTAAAGATCGAACTGTCAAAGAACTAATAAAGATGGTACGATGGTGAATGCCAAGATTCCTCCTGGATCTCGTGTTAGTTTAAACAACTTCTTCTGAATAAGGCCTCGGGTGATAATGTTTAGCCAATAACATGCTAAGATGAATCGCTACAAATTTGTTCAAATGAATTACTTTGACAAATATTCAAGGTCAGAGGGGTTAATTATGTTTAAAAACTTTAAAGGACTTCTTACCAAGTTGCCAAGGGTGTTGATATTTGGCATGTAACATGCTGGGATAAAGCTTAAGGGCTACCAATTTTTAGCTCACCTGGCCCAAAATATCATACAAAATGCATATCGGTTGAAATCACCAAAGCCAGCAATGGAAACAATTTGAACACTCATACAATTTATCAGAAATATCGTCTGTTACACTGCACTGATCAACAGGGGTTTGTTACAAATGTCTGAAATACACGTATTCTATAGACCTACTGACACATTTGTTACAGACCTACTGATATGAGTCGCAGCACACAAACATTTCAGACATTTGTAACGACCCCTATGATCCGTCGCAATATCACTCACTTCACACGCTATCAGATTCACGCATCTCGCAGCCATGGTTTCCCTAGTTTCTTACGACATGTCAAATAACGAGGCTGTTATAAAATCTACCGACTGTAGTCAGATTCCCATACATTTAACCAAAAAATTCACGTCTTGATTCTTCACAAATTTTGAACTTTTCTCTTTGCTCATTTAACTTCCCAAATAACTCGCTCGTGGAGGGCAAGGTCGGATTTACGGTGTTCACTGTATTTATCTATGCGCAAAATTTGTTCCGGGGAATAATCGAAACAATTTCAAATCCAACTTTCAGCTCAAGAGTTCTATTGATAAACTTAAATCACCCTATAGACATATCATACGCAATTGTTTTGATACTGAATTGTGGAATAAAATTGAAGTGTTTGTTAAAATTTCAAAGTACTACTTTGTTTGCCAATCAGCACGTGACAACATGCTATTCCAACTATTGAATGAATTTGTGTGGACTGTCGATAAAGCAGGAATTTTAAATTTGCACATTATGTTGTTTGCTTGAACATAAATACCATACAAAAACAGTTCAATGCTTAATTCTTCTCAACCAATAGAAGGATTTTGACCAAATTTGTTCTAGAGCATCTTTGGACAAAGGAGCTTCAAGTTTGTATAAACGGAGGGTGTGGCCCCTCTGGGGGCAGAGGGGCAGGGGAAATAGAGGATTTTTTCTCTCCTACTATACAAGTGAAGGGATATAAACCAAATGCTGTCTGAAGCATGCTTAGGGACAAAAGAATCAATTTTGTATAAACTGAGGTGTGTGGACCCCCTTCTTTGGGCAGATGGGTGGGGCCCATTAGGGGAAATAGAGGAAAACATTAAAGATCCTTCTCGTTTTGTACCGATAAAGGGATTTTGACCAAATTTGGTCTGGAGCATCATTGATCAAAGGGTTCTCAGTTTTGTATAAACAGAGGGTATGGCCTCACTGGGGGCAGAGGGGCAGGGCCAAATAGGGGGAAAATAGGTTAATCTTTAAAAATCTTCTTCTCAACCAATTGAAGGATTTTGACTAGATTTGTTCTTTTGACAAAAGGAGCCTCAAGTTTGTATAAACGGAGGGTGTGGCGCCTCTGAGGGCAGAGGGGAGGGGCCCAATAGGGGAAATAGAGGATTTTTTCCTCCTACTTTACAAGTAAAGGGATTTAAACCAAATGCAATCTGAAGCATGCTTAGGGACAAAAGAATCAATTTTGTATAAACTGAGGTGTGTGGGCCCCCTTCTTTGTTGCAGATGGGTGGGGCCCTTTAGGGGAAATAAAGGAAAACATTAAAGATCCTTCTCCTTCTGTACCTTTGAAGGAATTTTAACCAAACTTGTTCTAGAGAATTTTCAGGCAAAGGGAATTTGATATTTATAAATGGAAGATGTGAACCCCCCCACTCCCCCACCCACCCAGGGGCAGAGGAGTGGGGCCCAATAGGGGAAATGGAGAACAATATTTTCCCTTCAGTACAAATGAAGGAATTTAAACAAAATGTGGTCTGAAGCAGGCTTAGGGATAAATAAACTCAATTTGTATAATTTGTATAAAAAAGGGCATGTGAGGCCCAATAGGGGAAATAGAGAAAAATTGGGACATTACATGGAAACTCATTTTCTTGGTGTCTTTCCCACCAAAACAGATTTATATGTAGTTCTTCTTGCAACTTTGTTTATTAGCTCACCTGGCACAACTTCTTCTCATTAACCAAAAGGCCCAGGGTACTGATATTGGGCCTGTAGCATGCTGGGATGAAGGACTACCAAGTTTGTTCAAATGAATGACTTTGACCCTCTTTCAAGGTCACTGGGGTTAGATGTCTTAAAATCTTCAAACAACTTCTGCTCAATAACCAAAAGGCCCAGGGTACTGATATTGGGCCTGTAGCATGCTGGGATGAAGGGCCTCCAAGTTTGTTCAAATGAATGACCTTGATCCAATTTGAAGGTCACTGGGGTCAGATGTCTTTAAATCTTCAAACAACTTCTGCTCAATAACCAAAAGGTCCAGGGTACTGAAATTGGTTCTGTAGCATGCTGGGATGAAGGACAACAAAGTTTGTTCAAATGAATGACCTTGACCCACTTCCCACTTAATGTCCTTGTTCGACATTCAAGGTCACAGGCGTCATATGTTTAAATCTTTTAATAGGTTCTTATGAATCAAACACTAATATTCTGCCCGTAGCTGTTTTTTAGTCCACTTTTAAGATTACAAGTGTGACATAAATACCAGGTGAGCGATGCAGGCCCATTTGGCCTTTTGTATAATAAAGTATTCTGGCAGAACTGACAGCAATGTTTATATAAAGGAAAGTATTGCTGTAGTGTTGACAACTGTTGGTGTGGGTTTGAGGAAAGTATTCGTCTAGTGTTGACAACTGTTGGTGTGGGTAAGAGGCGGTCTTGGTGTAATGTTGACAACTGTTGGTGTGGTTTAGAGGAAAGTCTTGGTGTAGTGTTGACAACTGTTGGTGTGGGTTAGAGGAAAGTCTTGGTGTAGTGATGACAACTGTCAGTGTGGTTTAGAGGAAAGTCTTGGTGTAGTTTTGACAACTGTGGGTGTGGTTAGAGGAAAGTCTTGGTTTGTGTTGACAACTGTTGGTGTTGGTTAGAGGAAACTCTTGGTGGAGTGTTGAAAACTGTTGGTGTGGGTTAGAGGAAAATTTTGGTTTGTGTTGACAACTGTTGGTGTGGGTAAGGGGAACGTCTTGGTGTAGTTTTGACAACTGTTGGTGTGGGTAAGATGAATGTCTTGTTGAAGTTTTGACAACTGTTGGTGTGGGTTAGAGGAATGTCTTGTTGTAGTTTTGACAACTGTTGGTGTGGGTTAGAGGAATGTCTTGTTGTAGTTTTGACAACTGTTGGTGTGGGTTAAAGGACTGTCTTGGTGCAGTGTTGACAACTGTTGGTGTGGGTAAGAGGAGGTTTTGGTGTAGAGTTGACACCTGTTGACAACTGTCTTGGTGAAGTTTTGACAATTTTTTGTGTAGGTTAGAGAAATGTCTTGGTGTAGTGTTGACAACTGTTGGTGTAGGTTAGAGGAAAGTCTTGGTGTAGTGTTGACAACTGTCAGTGTGGGCTAGAGGAAAGTCTTTGCGTGGTGTTAACAACTGTTGGTGTGGGTAAGAGGAAACGTGGTGTAGATTTGACAACTTTTGGTTTTGGTTAAAGGAATGTCTTGGTGTAGTGTTGACAACTGTTGGTGTTGGTTAGAGGAAAGTCTTGGTGTAGTGTTGATAGCTGTTGATGTGGTTTAGAGGAATGTCTTGGTGTAGTGTTGACAAATGTTTGTGAAGGTTAGAGGATTGTATTTGTGTAGTGTTGACAATTGTTGGTGTGGGTTTGAGGAAAGTCTTTATGTAGTGTTAACAACTGTTGGTGTGGGTAAGAGGAAAGTTTGGTGTGTGTTGACATCTTTCTGTGGGTTAGGGGAATGTCTTGGTGAAGTGTTGACAACTGTTGGTGTGGGTAAGAGGTGGTCTTGGTGTAGTGTTGACAACTGTTGGTGTGGGTTAGAGGAAACTTGGTGAAGTAATGACAACTGTTGATGTGGGTTAGAGGAATGTCTTGGTGTATTGTTGACAACTGTCAGTGTGGGCTAGATGAAAGTCTTGGCGTGGTGTTGACAACTGTCTTGGTGAAGTTTTGACAATTTTTTGTGTAGGTTAGAGAAATGTCTTTGTGTAGAGTTGTTTAATTAAAAACTGTCAGTGTTGGCTAGAGGAAAGTCTTTGTGTATATTGTTGACAACTGTTGGTCGGGTTAGAGGAATGTCTTGGTGTCGTGTTGATCACTGTTGGTGTGGGTTTGAGGAAAGTCTTGGTGAAGTGTTGACAACTGTCAGTGTGGGCTAGAGGAAAGTCTTTGTGTATATTGTTGACAACTGTTAGTGTGGGTTAGAGGAATGTCTTGGTGTATTGTTGATCACTGTTGGTGTGGGTTAGAGGAGAGACTTGGTGAAATGTTGACAACCATTGGTGTGGGTTTGAAGAAAACTGTTGGTGTAGTGTTGACAACTGTTGGTGCAGGTTTGAAGAAATTCTTGGCATAGTGTTGACAACTGTTGATGTGGGTTTGAGGAAAGTATTTATGTAGTGTTGACAACTGTTGGTGTGGGTTAGAGGAAAGTCTTGGTGTATGTAGACAACTGACTGTGGGTTAGAGGAATGTCTCGGTGAAGTGTTGACAACTGTTGGTGTGGGTTTGAGGAAAGTATTAGTGTAGTGTTGACAACTGTTGGTGTGGGTTAGAGGAAACTCATGGTGTAGTGTTGACAACTGTTGGTGTGGGTTTGAGGAAATACTTTACGAAATAGTGATCACTGTTGGTGTGGGTTTGAGGAAACAATTTGTGTAGTATTGACAAATGTTGGTATGGGTTAGAGAAAACTCTTGGTGTAGTGTTGACAACTGTTGGTATGGGTCAGAGGAAAGTCTTGGTGTTGTGTTGACAACTGACGGTGTGGGTTAGTGGAAACTCTTCGTGTAGTAGTAAAACCCCGAAGGGCAGGTGAGCTTATGTCATGGTGCATTGCTGTCGTCCGTCTCTCAACTTTTCCTTTAAACGACTTTTCCTGAAGAATGGACAGGCCTAGAGTCATGATATTATGCTAAAAGCTTTGTTGGTAGGAGCATAACAAAGTTTGGGATTGAAAATGACCGTGGCCTACTTTCCAGTCAACAATATCCTAAGAACCTTTTGGACTAGTCATGATACTTGGGTATGTTATGTAGACTAGCAGTGCAAATCTTTTTCTTAATTACAGTAATGAGGTAAAATATCAACTTTAAATGCTAGTGGGGTCAAAGATAAACATGGGTTAAAAGCTTTAACAAACTTTTTCTCAAGTTTCATAAGGCCAACGGTCATGATATTTGGCCAATGGGTACCTGGGAAGGAATGCTCTTCATTAAAATGACGTTGACTTACTTTCAATGTCTCAGGGGTCAAATATGTTAAAATGATCAAACAAACAATATCTTAAAAAACATTGGTCTAGATTCATGCTACTTGGGTATGTTATATATATGTAGACCAGCTGTGTGAATCGTTTTCTTTGTTACATTAATGAGGTCAAAGGTCAACTTTAAGTGTTAGCCGGAGTCAAAGGTCAACATGGGTTAAAAACTTAAAACTTAAAATTTCAACAGACTATGTATGGTTTGGGCCTTTTTTGGCCCTCAAATCTATCAAAATTAAAAATCTGCAATAGAACTTTCAAACGACTGTTTCTTTCATTTTGAATATTTCCCCAGTACTATTATGTAAACATTTATTTGTGTTTTCAGTTTTGGCTGCCATGGTAACCAGGTCATATTTGCATAAATTATTGAATTTGATTATTCAGTCAATTTTGACAGTTTTTCACCTAGTTTTTCTCTTAGCTAACATAGAGTGCACTCTTGAACAAACTTTCTATTTCTCCTAAAGATGTATTACTGGTGCCTATACATTATCCTTTGATATTAAGTTTGTTCAAGCATGCGCTCTATAGTTTCTAGGAGAAAAACTATACAAAATATCACAATATTCACTGAATATTCAAATTTTTCTAATTTATGCAAATTTGAACTTGTTAACATGGCAACAATAATTAGAAATATAAATAAATATTTTGATAAAAGTATTTGGGAAGTATTCAAAATTCAAGAAACAGTCATTTCAAAGTTCATTTAAAGGTTTTGAATTTTGATGCATTTGGGGGCCAAAACAGGCCCAATTAAACCATATACATAGTCCTTTCAAAAAACAATAGCTTGAAGAACCGTTTAAGAGATTTTAAAATGTCTTGTGTTCTAGTAGTTACCAAATTTGGTCTGAAGTAATTACCTATATGTCAGTTTCATGTTACAAAAGAAACAGGTGAGCGATACAGGCCCTCTGGGCCACTTGTTGTGGTTCAGAGGAATGTCTTAGTGTCATGTTGACGACTGTTGGTGTAGGTTTAAATTGAGGAAACTCACTATGTAGTGTTGACAACTGATGGTGTGGGTTTAAATTGAGGAAACTCACTGTGTAGTGTTGACAACTGATGGTGTGGGTTAGAGGAAACTCACGGTGTAATGTTGACAACTGTTAGTGTGGGTTAGAGGAAAATCTTGGTTTAGTTTTGACAACTGTTGGGTTGGGTAAGAGGAAACTCTTCGTGTAGTATTGAGAACTGTTGGTTGAGTAAGAGGAAACTTTGTGTAGTGTTGACAAATATTGGTGTTGGTAAGAGGGAATTTTGTGTAGTGTTGACAAATGTTGTTGTGGGTTAGAGGAATGTCTTGGTGAAGTGTTGACAACTGTTGTTGTAGGTTAGAGGAATGTATTGGTGAAGTGTTAACAACTGTTGGTGTTGGTTAGAGGAAACTCTTGGTGTAGTGTTGACAACTGTTGGTGTGGGTTTAGATTGAGAAAACTCTTGGGGTAGTGTTGACAAATGTTGTTGTGGGTTAGAGGAATGTCTTGGTGAAGTGTTGACAACTGATGGTGTGGGTTTTGATTCAGAAAATTCTTGGGGTAGTGTTGACAAATGTTTGTGCAGGTTAGAGGAAAGTCTTGGTGTAGTGTTTTAGAGAGGTGTAACATTACCATCAAACATATACTGCCCTACAATTGCGCCTTCTGTTTTAAGCAGCCCTCCAGAGGTGGCCTCTTTTCCAAAGCCTGTATCATCTTAGATACACCTTAATTCCCTAAATAGTGGAGTATTCCACCAGTGAAATCAGTACACAAAGCCCAGCCATACTGTCTCTGAGTGTTTAATTTTATAAAACTTTTCATATAATGTATGAAGTTTTGGTATCAGATTGATATTAGCATACCTCTGGAGCAGTTCTATTAGATTTGGCTTGCTTTTATAGCGTCTATCACGCTATACATTTTATAGCACCATTCGGTAGAAAGACACTATGTAAAAAGCAAAGGAACCACTTAAATTATTGAAAGACTGTGTTTTTATTGTAATCCGAGAAAAATAATCCCAATTATATAGAAACTATATTCAAAAATGATTCACTGTGACTTACATTGTAGATGTCTGTCACTGTCACAATTGTCAGCAGTCCCTTTATAAGTGCAGAGTAGACATAGTATTGGTGTACAGACACAAAATACATTTGAGGAATAAATTTGACATTATCTTTCTTAAGCTGTCGAAGAGGATTTTGAGGAGGAAATGAAAGAAGAGCGGTTTCTTATTTCAATAGAAACAGGATAGTTTATCGAATGACATACTGTAATTAACTAAATCACCTGATTTGATACATATAAAGATAGAATCTATGAGTCGGGGAAACACACATGGTGTACATTAATAACATTCACATTTAAGTTCTAAATACAGAAACACTAATTGTTTAGAATGGGACCAGTACCCTGTGCAGTCTTCACAAGTCTACCTATCAAAATGCTTCATATTAGAAATCAAGGCAAAAGTAAAAACTTTGTGATAATCAGAAAAATTAATGATTAGGTTTTAATGTTTTTCTGATGGAAGAGTTTTTGTAATCATTCTGTAATTTTTTGTCTTACAGATACGAATTGAGAGTTCGGTATCTTCCCAAGAGCTTCCAGGAATTGTACACAAAGGACAAAGTCACATTCTACTATTTATATGACCAGGTATGTCACCACAGAAATGATGAATATTGTCAGGGTTTCAAAGTTTTATGAATTTAGTTTTACAGGTGATCCGGCTCATGTCATATGAAATTACTCAATTTGGTAGATAATGAAATTTGTCAAGTGCTACTCCTGCAGCAAAAGAACTCATATTTAAGAATTAACATGAACATATTTTTAGCTCTTCCCATCACTTTCCGTCTGTTGTCATCCGTCATGCGTCGTGTCGTGCGTAAACTTTTTACATTTTCAACTTCTTCTCAAGAACCCAATGGATGGATTTTTAGCTCACCTGGTCCGAAGGACCAAGGTGAGCTTATGCCATACCGTTGCGTCCGTCGTCCGTCCGTCCGTCCGTCAACAATTTCTTTAAACGACTTCTTCTTCTTAACCACTGATTGGAATTAAACTAAATTTGACTGAAAGCATTCCTAGGTAGGTGGAGATTCAAAATTGTACAAATGGTTGGGCTGACCCCCCAGGGGGCTGAGGGGCGGGGCCAAAAGGGGGCAATTTGGCTATATTGCTACAAACGACTTCTTCTGTAGAACTTAGCCATGGATATCAACCATATTTGACTGGAAGCATCCCTAAGTGGTGGCCATGGGGATTCAAAATTGTACAAATGGTTAGGCTGAGGGGCGGGGCCAAAAGGAGTCAATTTGGCTATTTTGCTTTAAGCAACTTCTTCTCTGGAACTAAGAAGACGATATCAACCATATTTGACTGGAAGCATTCCTAGGTGTCAGGGATTCAAAATTGTACAAATGGTTGGGCTGACCCCCCAGGGGGCTGAGGGGCGGGGCCAAAAGGAGTCAATTTGGCTATTTTGCTTTAAGCAACTTCTTCTCTGGAACTAAGAAGACGATATCAACCATATTTGACTGGAAGCATCCCTAGGTGGTGGGGATTCAAAATTTTACAAATGGTGGGGCTGAGGGCGGGGCCAAAAAGGGGTCAATTTGGCTTTATTGCTATAAACAACTTCTACTGTAAAACTATGCCATGGGTATTGATCATATTTGGTCGGAAGCATTAATGGGAGGCAGGGATTTAAAATTGTAAAAATTGGTGGGGCTGACCCCCCGGGCTAAGGGGTGGGGCCAAAAAAGTTTATTACTTGCAAATGGTTGAGATCCCCACCATATAACCATGGTATACAATTGCTGAGTATAAAGAGAAAAATGCACATTTGCTTCCAGGATGGCTATAGGGTCTGGCCCCACCCTTGGAGACATAGTCCCTGGGCCATAACTTTAAAACTGTTGAGATCCCCACCCAAAACTATATATACAAATGCTGGGCATAAAAAGACGAATGCAGTCATGATATCAGAATAGACCCTGGGATCTGACCGAACCCTTAGGGACCTAGTTTGTTAGTCACAGCTTGGAAACAGTTGAGAGCCCCACCCTTTAACGGTATATACAATGGCTGAGTATAAAGAGATGATTGCACATATGCTTCCAGGATGGCCTTGGGGACTGCCCCACCCTTGGAGACTTAACCCCTGGGTCATAACTTTGAAATGGTTTAGATCCCCACCCCAAAACTATATATACAAATGCTGGGCAAAAAAAGACAAATGCAGTCACGATATTAGAATTGATCCTGGGGTCTGGCCACAGCCCTAGGGACCTAGTTTCTGAGTCAAAGCTTTGAAACAGTTGAGATCCCCATCCAATAACCATACATAAAATTGCTGGGCACGAAGAATCTAATACAGATATGCTACAAGGATTGGCCTTGGGGTCTGGCATATTCCCTTGATCTCATTCGGAGAATAATTTGCCATGATTGCTTTGGTATCCAAGTGAGCTATACAGGCCCTCTGGGCCTCTTGTTTTCAAACTTGGTCAAAATCATCCTTGGTAGATGAGGCTACAAAATTGTAAGATTGGGATTCCTACCCCAACCCCTTGGGCCAGGGTGGGGCCCGAAAGGGAAAATTAACCAATATTTCTAAAATTTTCTTATCCAGACTCTGAGGTGCTACAGTCATTTTCTTTTCTCTGCATGGATGGAAAGATCATCAGGGGCTTTATTTAAATTGTAAATTTCAGGACCCCCGAGCTATCCGTTCTCCCTTTGCGGGGGGGGGGGGAGTTTACATAAGTTTATATGGGGAAACAACACTTTTGGGTATATTTTGACAATTTTCTGTAGGAAATTATTTTTACTTGGTGAGAATTATATTAAATTGGGATTCCTACCCCAACCCTAGGGGCCAGGGCGGGCCCCAAAGGGAAAATTAACTAATATTTCAAACAACTTCTCCAAGGTACTGCAGTCAATTTCAGTGCATGGATAGAAAGATTATCAGGAATAACCAAGAGATCCTGGGTGATGAAATTTGGCCAGTAGCATGGTCAAGGTCACAAGGGTCAAATATTTTTAAAATCTTTAAAAGACTTCTTCTGAATAACCAAAATGCCCAGGAAGATGATATATAGACCACAAGCATGCTTTGATAAAGGGCTACCAAGTTTGTTCAAATGAATGACCTTGACTGATATCCAAGGTCAAATGGAGCAAATATATGTTTAAATCTTTAAATGATTTGTTAGCTCACCTGGCCCGAAAGGCCAACTGAGCTTATCCCATGCCGCAGCGTCCGTCGTCTGGTGTCCGTCCGTCGTCCGTCAACTTTTTCCTTTAAAACGCTACAAGTCCTGAACGGCTCAGAGGATTTTGACCAAATTTGGTCTGGAGCATCATTGGCCAAAGGGTTCTCAGTTTTGTATAAACGGAGGGTATGATCCCCCTGGGGGCAGAGGGGCGGGGCCAGATAGGGGGAAAATTGGTAAATCTTTAAAAACTTCTTCTTCTCAACCAATAGAAGAATTTTATCCAAATTTGTTATAGAGCATCTTTGGACAAAGGAGTCTCAAGTTTGTATAAACGGAGGGTGTCGGCCCTCTGGGGGCATAAGGGCGGGGCCCAATAGGGGAAATTGTATTTTTTTTTTGTCCTACTATACAAGTGAAGGGATTTAAACCAAATGCAGTCTAAAATTAAAGCATGCTTAGGGACAAAAGAATCAATTTTGTTTAAACTGAGGTGTGTGGAACCCCTTCTTTGCGGCAGATGAGTGGGGCCCATTAGGGGAAATAGAGGAAAACATTAAAGATCCTTCTCCTTCTGTACCATTGAAGGGATTTTAACCTAACCACACTTGTTCTAGAAAATCTTTGGGCAAAGGGAATTGAATATTTATAAATGAAAGATGTTGCTCCCACCTTTGTTTCTTGTACTCCTTTGATAAACCTGAATGGTACTCAGCAGGTTTTAAATTGAAAAATAAAATACCAGGTGAGCTATTAAGGCCCCTAGGCCTCTTGTTCTGTATAGCTTAAAGGTCCAGGGTTGTAGTCTTTTAGGTATGTTGTAGGCCAAGGTCTGAAGATGTTCCAGGAACATTTTTAAGTAGGTTAGCAATCCAATATGACCGCCATGACGTCATAATCTTTAAAACCACTATAACTCGTAAACCACAGATTGAACAGAATCTATGAAAATATATAATTTGTAGATAATTTCCATATTTAACTTTTTCTGGTTACATGTTAATACAAAATATTTCGAATAAAAAAATAGCTCTCTATGGGGTCAAAGGTCACCAACTTTTTAAAAACATTCATTTTTAGCTCACCTGCCCGAAGGGCAGGAAGGGCAGGTGAGCTTATGCCGAACCGCGTCGTCTGGCGTCAACTTTTCCCCTTTAACTCATTCGCCCCTGAAATTTTATAGTGAACTATTCCAGCCTTTGAATTGGAAGAGTACAAATGTGTCTTCAGGGGTGAATGAGTTAAAAGCCTTTATTTCCTGAACGACGGATTGGATTTTAACTAAATTTGATATGAAGCATCCTTGGGACCAGGGGCTCAATGGATTTATGAAATAAGAGTGTGGGCCGCTAGGGGGTTTAGTTAGGGGCCAAAAAGGGGAAAATTTAGAAAAAAATAAAAAATCTTCTCTGGAAATGGAGAAGATTTTTTATTTTTTTCTGAATTTTCCCCATTTCCAGAAATGCTAAAACCATATACTACTCATAGTTAAGTTGTAAAGGCCTTTGGGTGGGTCTCCTAGCCCCCCCCCCCCCCCCCCCAATTTTT